AAGGTATGTCGACAGCTGACACTCTCCTGTCAATTCTGTTTACTCTTCTTGTGCTGGTGGAGTACTGGAGTTGACAGGAAAGCACCCAGTGGTCGACTTATCGCATATGTGATGCGATAAATTGATCACCGCTGGATCGATCACAGCCCGTGGATCCAGCAGGTGGTGAAAACATGCCCTAAGTCTCAGCAGTATAAAGATTAACTAGTACACCTGAAGTGGGTTGTGCCCACGAAAGTTCATGATACCATCTACGTGTTTTGTTAGTCTATAAAGTGCTACCAGACCATTTGTTGTTTTTTAAGTTTTTCCTATTACAGACTAACTTGGCTACCCCTCTGAAGCTTTAGTACTTTTACATTGGTGCATAAGAAGTTACTAGAGTAGAACTCCTATATAAGAACTAACTGGGAAGTGAGACTGTCGTAAAATCCAAAAGTGCAGAAGACTGAACAGGTCCAAATGGCAGCAGGGCCAGAACATGAGTTGACTTTTAATCGTTCAATGATAGTGTAAATAACCACTGATAATGAATGGATACAGTGTGCCTGATTTCTCTTTGTTTGAGTGAACTGCATCTCTTCTTTGCTGCCAAATCTCTCAGCCTTTTCAAACCATACAGCCGCTTGGCCATTAATCGAGGAATTAAAGTCATGTCTGGCAGCCAAAAGATGGGTTATTTATAAAATCAATGCTCATAAAATCAGGGTTCATCAGTAGATCAAACTAGTAATATCAGTGCAAATTTCTCTGATATGGTCAGGGCCTTCTCTGAATACTCTGGCCCAGCACAAAATACAGCTGACCCATTGTGTTCCACTTTCTTTCCTCACTTCTGGGCAGATCTGTTGTTTCTCGCTGGCCTCTCTTCTTCAGTTTTTATTGTGTCTGAGCTCATCAAACTCTGTGAAAAGCACTGCTGCAGAACAAAGAAAGTGAAGATTCCTCGTGATGTATAAGGGCGACAAGCTGTTCTTTGAATTAAACTTGCCGTTTTGTCATTCCAATGTGTCATGCTGGGACTATGCAAATCCTTGTGGAAACTAAAATGTGAATCTAGGTCAACAGCCCTTCCCACATTAAGTAATATTCCTGACACTTTCTTTGCCCAGTCTATAGCCAGCTTTTGTCTGAGGCATAAACACTGCCTCTGTGGCACAGATTTATATATATTTTCATAATATGTTGACCTGTCCCTTGAGTTGAAGCAATCACTGGGAACAATGTGGAGATGCACCTGTACAGACAAATCTACCGCACACCACTGATGTTTTGTTTATTTAAATCACAATGTTTTTTGTTAATAAAATCTGGATTTAAAACATTAACTAGTGCTTGTCTGAGGGAGAATCTTGTTGTTACTTATGCAGTAATCTCTACTTTAAAAAACAACTTTCCATACTTTTGCCTTTCCTACCAGGACCCTGTGTAGCCCACTTCTGGCTGGTGAATGCTGAGGCTTTAGAGCTCAGACCAGTTGATCTTGATTTAGCAAAGGTCTTAAGCAAGTGTCTCGTCTGGAATGACTCATGTTCATTCTTAAAGAGCTGTGCATAGAATCGTAAAAGATTAGAGATGGAAGAGATCTCCGGTCCTCAAAGCAGGACCAACCCCCCCCCCCCCCCCCCCGCTGTCTCTT